GCATGACACAGATATAAATGTTTCAATTCTAACTCTCAAAATTTAGATAAAGATAACCGTGATCTTTGATAACGGGGTAGAGATCAGGAATTACAGATATGACCCAATTATTGGAAGATTTCGATTTTATAGAGAAATTGACCTCAAAGCCACCATCCTTGAATATATCATTTTTTAGAAGTAATGCTTTGGTAATGGAGTCTTTGTTGTATGATGAATCCACACCAAATAATATAAACTGTGGATTACGTCGGACTGGCTTGGATATCGAGAAACTTGCAAAGTCAGCATTATTGGAGAGTTCTTGGCTTAGTTTGCTTACATCCTCGTCGGTGGTCAAACAGATTGCAATTCCATCAATAATCACAAGTTCGAGCCATGAGGCCACTACTGTGCCAACGCGTAGAGAGCCTGATGTACATTAAAAATGTTGTGGCCTCCCTTTTTTGTAGTGTGGAAGTTCTGACAGGGTAGCCAGCTCAGGTGTCGTCTTCGTCACTTAAGCATGGTTACAAATTACGAGGTTCGTCGGCGAAATTCTTCGTTTTGCTTTATAATACTTCATTTATAAACAATTATTTCCTCAGACAATTTTTCTGTTTTAATCACTGTATCATGATATCCAAGAGGGCATAGTCACTATCTTGTGTCTGGCAATGTTTCAATGGAAACGTGGGTTTGAGGCTTAATGTCACTAAGAAATCACGGTCACGGTAGCCGAGTGGTCAAGGTTTCGGATCGTGGTTGGCCTTGTCACGAGTTCGTGGCCAATACTATTAAATACCCGCCGTGTAAGGGCGCGCTGCATGTTAAATCTGTCGAGCCTCGCGTTGGTGTGGTAGTTAGGGAGGTGGTGTCAGCTCAGATGTCGTCCACGTCACTTGACCATGGTTCAGAATTACGTGGTCCATCGCCAAAAGCTCTCGTGTAGCTGAATTGTGCGGCATTAATATTCACTCACTCACAGTCACTAAGAAATTGACATGTAGAAGTACTAACGCAAGTTAAATGTGTAAAGGTGTACAGTCCTTAGTTCGCGGCGTGTGGGAATTCAAAAAGGGCCAGATAGTTCTATCAAAAGTATTGGGCCTGTGGACAAGCTCCAGAAATCTGGAGCTGTTTCTGAGAGCAACGTAATAATCAATCAATCAATGATTAAATCAGGAAAATCTGTACTCTTTTATCCTATTAGTATAAAAAATGTTAACAAGAGAACTCTGAGATAACAAATGAAAAATGTGTAAAGAAGTGCCCTTGCTTAAATTTCTAACAGCTACGAGAACTGTTAGAATTTTATGGAGTGAATACAATGTCCAAAACTCAGTGGCCAAATACTTTTTTTTAGGAGACCGGTCACATGTAAAATGGAATAGCATTGAAGAGGGCTTGGAATTAAAAATTAAAAACGACCTAATTTTACCAAAAGAACTGAAGATTATATTGTCAAGTTTAGTGAAACCCATTGGTGGCCGTATAAAGAACGTTATTAGGCAAATATATGGCAAAGCATTCTTGCCAAATAATTTTATGAGCATGATAAGCTGGACGATACTTGGAATTATAGATAAAAAGAAAACTGCAGAGGCGGTTATAAAAGATGAAGATTTACCTTTTAGCATGCGTTACGAAATAGCTTGCACTTATTGCATGTACGATCAATTACCAATGTTGTGCAGCAAATTACATAAGAAAAATAAAAATTGTCATTCCAAAGTGAGAGGCCATTACATGTACACATTCCCAATTTATTGGGCTTATCGTTTAAAGAAGGAACTAAACATTTTGGACAGAAGATTCCGAGAAGAATATAATGCATTAAATTCTGATTTCGTTGGACTTGCACACGCATTTTCTACTGACAATCTACCAGCCTTTGAATATTTACTAGGCAAGTTGAGTGCGGAAGAGAAAGAAATACACGTCAATGCTTTTTTCCTATATTTGGAGGTGAGTGTAGCAACGATTAGCAATGGCGATTATGCATGTGATATTATTTACTTTTTACTCTCGCACGTGAGTGAAAATGAACGAAAGAGATTAATGGAGAAATGCGCATATTATATATTAAAGTGCTTTTTAAAATTCCCTTACTTAGGATTGTTTTTGGAAACTGAAATTATTATGCAGAAATATCTTACTACTGACCAGAAAGAAGCCTTAAGAGGACATGAGCAATATAAAGAAACTAGTAAATATTTTGTTTTCAGAACTTTCAGTAAAAATAACGTATTGTGGAATTTTTAAAATTTTATAATCAATTAAAATTTTATAATTCAAATTAATACTTCAATAAATTATTAAAGAGTTTATTTTCTATTTATATATTTCTATATGTAAGACAGTTAATTTATGTTAATATAGTTTAAAAACGTTTTAATTTAAGCAAATGTTTTCAAGTCTGATGTTGTGTTATATGTACGTATCCCATTTTATGGTCAGTTTCAAATATTTTAAATTTATAAGCTGCTAATGAAAATAAATCTTAATTTTACTCTTTTAGAGGTTTATTTAAATAAGCTTTTGTGCGTATTGCACTTTTAACCTTAGTGGACAATTACTTTAAGCTTTGACTTAAAAGCAATACTGTATGAATTTATATGAAGACCCTCTTTTAAGTTTAAATTCCTTATTTTATCGATGCATATTTTTACACTTTAAAGTACGCATTCATTTGTACCAATCAATGCAAGAACTATTCAGTTTCGCAATTATATCAAATATTTACGAATAATTGGAATATGATTTATTTAAAAGGAAAGGATTAAAATTTAATCAAAAATGTAAGGATTAATCCACAAGGTTTTGTACGAAATCCGTTACTTACAATCCCATTTATTTCGTTGAAATATAAATGATTAATTTTTGTGAAATGTACCACATTGGCCCTTTATATTTAACTATTGTCATATACATCTGCTTAAGGATAAGAAATTTATGCAGTATTTGTTCGCTTTGCATTTTCTTAATAAATGATACTTTACTGAATTGATTTAGAAATGTTTCTTTCCTGTAGTTTTGTGAATGTATTCAATTATTTTTCATGATTATTATTAAGGGGGTCTGGCACGCCCATAGGAGTCCATGTTAAATAACGTAACTGTATGTATCTTTTTCTCAAAAACTATTTAACTACTCGTGGATAAAATTTTTACAGTAGGTTATGTGTACTATTAATAACACTTTAATGGAGGGATTTGCTTTTTTGTAGAAAACAAAATTAACTTTGAATCTTTTAAAATTTTTTCCATTTTTTCTCTTAAAATTTACTTTTAAAGTCATATCTAGCAAAGTATTTTAGATATATCTAATACCCTCCATTAAAATGTGCAAACATGCTAAAGGTCAGCTCACTGAAAATTTGAGGAACTATATGAAAAGTAGTTTTTGAGAAAAAGATACATAAAGTGAAAAATACCTGACAAAACAGACTTTTAAGTGAAAATTCGTAATATTTTGAGCATTTACTTTATAAATACTTTCCAGAAGCATATGAAGCATTTTTTTACTCTGCTCGCACAAAAGACTCTTCTTTCTTTCTTATTTTCAGCAATTTTGCCTTTTTTTTTTTTGGAATATCAAGATACTTCCGTTGGGCTGCACGAATCCTACGTGTATCTAGTTTTTTGAAGCACGACACACATTTATAACTTGGTTCAATATTATAATGTTTTATGATCATTAACTTTGCTACATGACTCATATTGAACTGTGCAATAGTCATATTTACCTATAATATTAGAGTTTTTATTTCCACAAATGTAGATCTTGGAATCACTGACCATATGGTGTTAACTGATTCATTTGGGTTCTGGGTCTTTCCATGTAAACATTTTCTTAATAACATAAGATCATATAGATTTCAATAAAAGCCAATATTTAGAGTTCATTATGGTATATAGCACTTATTCATGTGTTTATAATCATAGTGTCTTTCGTTACATTCAGCTTCTGTCTTTTGAAACTTGCACCGGGCATTTACAATCGCAGGACACAGTCCATGTTGAGGGCTCTCGTTTGAAGACAGAAGATGAAAAAAAACAGACCAAACAGCAGTTTTCATGCTGTGTAGATCATTGATATTATTTATAATAGCCATACTATAATACCTTTGAATTTTTGATATTAAAATGTCGGTGATGACCACTTAGGCGTTTTTCATCACTTAACTTTTTTTCTCTGTTTCGCTTTTAAGATCTAAAAGACGCGTACCCATATACTTTTGGACAAGCCCAATACACTGCAATTTTTACACTTGAACATCATATAGATTCGCAATCATCAGAAAACAATCAAGGGGAAACACAGGTGCTCCTAGCAGAGCTTATTTGGTGCGCGTCAAGAAGTAGCTTCATTAAAAAAAATAAATAAAAATGCTTCTTATTATCATAATTCCTCATATCATATATCATTTTAAAAAGAAACATTCGAACTTTTTAAAAATGTAAAAAAGTGAAAATCGATAATTTTATAAAAATTCAAGTGCCGGACCCTCTTAAAGTATTAAGATTTGTTGGTACTTTCGCGTAATACGTTTGACAAATTTCGTCAAGGTATCCGACACACACTACGCTCGGAACTATACTTGAAATTGTTATTTAAATATTTAAACTAATATTTACTCTTATTTTATATGTACACGAAACACAATTTAAAGATTAATTTACTAATTTTTTTAACTTCCTGTTATTTTGTTTGGTTTAATAATAAAAAAAAATTCAAACAAAATGCATCAAAAAAGCCCCGTAAGCGAAGGAGTACTACTCCTTACTAGTAGTGACGTCACAAATCAGCGCAAAGCAAAGGTTCGCAGACTCAATTCGACTGCAGATCGAGAGGTCCAAGGTAAAAACCCGGGTGCCCCCCATCTTCAGGGAAGTGAAGAGAAATATATACATATTTTTTGAGAATTCTGAAGGCGGGAATGATCTGTCCCGTTCTCTATATTTCTATATAAAGCATTTTCGTATCCGTTCTCATGGAACGTAAAGCAAAGGCTCACTGACATAGCTCAGCGGTGTAGAGCATTGGACTGCGGATCGAGAGGTTCCCGGTTCAAACCTGGGTGTCCACCTCTTCAGGGAAGTGAAGAGAAATATTTTTTTTGAGAATTTCGAAAGCGGCAATGATTTGTCCCGTTCTGTATATTTCTAAACAAAGCATTTTCGTATCCGTTCCTACGGAACGCAAAGCAAAGGTTCGCAGATGCCGGTGTATAGCTCAGTAGTAGAGCATTCGACTGCGCAGATTGAGAGGTCTCCGCTTCAAACCCGCGTATCCCCTTCAGGGAAGTGATGAGAAATATTTTCTTGAGATGTTTGGAGGCGGCAATTATCTGTCTCGTTCTGTATGTTTCTAGACGAAGCATTTTCACACCCGTGACGGCATGCGCGGATCGTAAAAAGTCACCCTCATCCTGTTTTTCTAGCACCCCCAAAAATATAACTTCAATAAAAACAAGAAAAATGATGAAAATAAGATATTAAACTGGATAATACTAGTAAGTATGGGCGCATGAAAAAATTCGTCCATACATCACATTTTATGTGATATCAAAAAATTAACTACTGGAGATGCAATTATAAGAGTTACATTAATTCTATTCAAGTTCACTTTAATTTAGATTATACAATTTTTGATTAATGTACTTAAAATAACTTTACGGAGGACTCTTCAATTTGTAATAATTGACCGACTTACTGAAAAACAGCGAAACATTAATTATTTGCAACAAATATTTGATTCAAGTCTGTTAATCTGAATGGTTTATCATGTGACACATGTAATGAATTGGAAAAAGGTTCACTCCTAGGAGAGCCCACACACTTGGCGCGAATTACTTTGGTTGGCGATAATTGCGCCATCTTGGTAAACCTACTTTTAACTACTACATATGGCAACCCTAACTATTTCTAGCATTTTCATATTTTGAGGGCGCGCATTTCGAATTTCATTTTGTTGAACTCCGGGCTGCCTGCGTGTGTGAGGGAATATACTTTAGAATTTTTTATTTTGTTGAATGCGAAAGGTAAAGAATTGATTGAGAATGGTGTATGAAGGAAGGATTGATTGCTTCGAGCTATGAATGTCCTAAATGTAATGATCGGCATGATGTAACATGGTCGGCAATTATAAACGCTTTCTTCGAAATCGTACCATCCACGCCGAATGTATGTTCGACCATTACCCCGCAGAATAAATATGGCGGCGATCACACTAATCATCGCTAAGCGAATGATCGTGTGAGATCTTTAAGGCTTTTTAAAAATCTGTTGTTACACTGTACCCTCCACTTGGAAAAGATCAGCAGTAAGAAAGTAAGTGCTGTTTTTATATTTTTTATCTTAAATGTTTAATTTCTGTATTGTTTACATATATTTTCATTACGCATCAACCTGATCCCGCTATATTCCCTTGCAGCCATTGTCGGGTTCGCTTGGCGCCCTCTTGTTCTGGCTTGGCGCATTTTTCAGTTTGTCGCCAAGGGTGTGGGCTCTCCTAGGATTTTACCTTTGAGTCTTTCATTTGTGGAAATTTTGAGATTTAACTCTTAGTTATTTTTTGTTGAATAATTTTCTTCCTGCTTGAGATTTTTAATTATATATTCTACATTAACATTTAAACGTTGTTCAACTTTTTGAATAATTAACTATATGATTAACTTAACAATTTATTTGTTCAAAGTAAACATTTGCAGTTTTCAAAGAATAAATTGTGTACACATTAAACAATTAAATACATACTAAAGGCATATAATATGTCTTTCAAATAAAATAAATGTTTCAAATATTTTAATGGATGTTGAAAACTATTGTGTTTTAAATATAGAAAGTTTTGCTTCACACATAAAAGATAGCTATATGCTGTCGCGGAACTTTTTACAGATGACAGAATTTTTTCCTATTTACTTGGTAATTTTCGTTATATTTAGGACACTTTACACAATATCCTTATAAATTATAACATGTATTATTCTGATGTATAAGCTATACTATTGTAAAGTTTCATTAAAATCTCCATTCAGTTGTTTTTGCGTGAAAAAGTAACAAAAATAGATCCATATATACAAACTCTCGTGTTTATAATATTAGTAAGGATTTTACAAAGTGCTAAGACAAACAGAAAATTGTCGATCATATAAAGAAAAATATTAAAAAGAATTTTAATTTAGAAATAATTTACAAAATTTCAGATTTCGAAATATAAAATTCATGTAAACGGTTAACATAGAGCGAAACTTATTGTTAGTAATCCCGTTTTTTAAACATGAATTTCAATTTTAATATCGTTCAATTAAATTTTTTTATATATATATATCTATATGCAAGAAACTAAGCAAGTTCAGAAAAGTTTTTTTAGCACATGCGTATTCTAATTTACTCAGTGTTTTTGAAAACGAGGAACAAGAATCCCCCCTTTAATCATTGTTGATTCCCAGTCGATTTATTTTATTGAGCACACAAACTGCAATCAAAAAGACTTTTATAAATATAAATTTCTAAGTAATTAAAAAAAACACTTTTTTTCTTATACCTTTTTTTATCATGATTCGATTTCCATATTCTATAAACTTCTCTATAAATGGGGAGAATACACTATATCTACTTCATCCAAAAAATATCCTTAATACTAAAAAAATACTATGTGTGGATCAGGCAATCGCCCTACAAATTTCTTGACACTACTCGAAATCTGGATTTATTATTTTCTTATAAGTTCTATCTTTAATCAGTTACAAAAACAGTTAACCTTTGAACATTACATAAAAAAATGATTTTTATTTGCTACATTTAAAAACATATATATTATTATAATATGTAATTATAAACTACCAAACGATTTCTTAGCAAATTTAATGTTAATATCCATCAAAAGATATGTTTGCTTATCTTTCAATATCTAATCTTAAAAGCAACAGAAATAATTCTAATACCTAGAAGGCAAATTATAAAAAAAACTTTCTACATGATCTAAAATAAGCATTCTCAAAGGAGTATTTGAGTTAAATATTCATTTTTTTAAAAAAATATTGCTTGTCACGACTTTCCACTATTCGAAACAACACACACATTCTCCGTTTTAACCACAGAAGCTGAAACTTCATCTCTGGAGTTCCAGCTAGCACTAATGACAAATAATTGGAAGATGTAATTAACTTCTCTATGAATAGCTTAATTCAAATTCACTCGAATGGTTTGGAGGCAAGTTATTAAAGTTTTGATTAAAAAGGGAGGCCTTGGAAAATGATGTTTTCGATTTGGCTAAACTCGTGAAGATATTGTAAGACAATGCAATTTATTTCCTTATAGATATTATTTAATAAGCGCCGTGAGAGAATACATTCTGTATGAAGAAAGGGTGTTATATTGAGTTAATTTCAATGGTTTGGTTATACAATGCCATACATTTGTTTTTCATTTGAATGTTTGAAATACTTTCCAGTGTCATTGATTATTCATAGAATACATTTGGATTTGTGAATATTTTATTAGTATAATAAATATCGTTTGTATTTTATCACTTGAAATTCTTAACCATTGGTAAAAAACAAATAATTGGTTAACATTATTGGATGATTTTGAAGTTTGCATCGGATCATGAAAACAACTATTTATTTCATTGTGGTATATTCTATTTTTTTTACCTTAACTTGCTTCGTAGTGTAAAAAAAAATAGTCTAACTAGTCCTTGCCTAATATTTGTGTTAAGCGCCGGCATTTTTTAATGCGTATAAGAAGAAAAGCCGTTTTTTATACGTAGTACGATCCAAAAATTCGGGGACTGTGGCCATTGCTGACGATGAAAGCAGGTACTTGAAGTTAAACCACTTAAAATGAATTCTGCCAACCCTCTCCTACTTGGCCAGGTTGGTTTAGTTCCTGGCATATGATCAAACCACACACGCATACAGCTGTTATCTTCCGAAACTAATTAGCTTTGCTCCACCATGTAAGAAAAACGGCTTTTCTTGCACAGCATTGAACATAAAATTCTGTCAGCGAGTAAGTAAAACACCAATGGTGACTTCAGAAATGCTAAGTAAGGTGCATGGTGAATCTACGATAGGGATATCCAATGCTTACGAATGACATCGGCGTTTTAAAGACGGCCGAGAATTCATCAAAGACGATGAACGTGTTGCAGGACCTTCAACTGCAAGGAACACAAAAAAATGCTATGTTGGTGTCCGAAAGTGTTCGAAAAGATCGTTTCCAAACCCTTGCACAAATCGCTGGGCTACACACTTCTTGAAAACGTTGCTGAGGGAATTCATTTGTCGTAAATAGCCTCAGTTCTGGTAGAGTGTGATGCTTGGTAACTTCTGAATGACAACGCTCCAGCACATCGATCCGAATTCGTAAGAGTTCCTTGCCAAAACTCGCACTGACGTGCTTCCACACCCCTATTTATTTAGACTTAGCCTCGTGTTATTTTTACCTGATCTCATCAAAGAAAATAACATTGACAAGGACGCTGTTTTGTGTCATCAGATGAAGTGAAAGCAACATCGCAGGAGGCCTTAACTGAGGTTGGGAAAAATGGCTTCCAGCTGTGTTTCCAGAAGTAATAAGAACGCTGGCAGAAGTGTATCATCGCTCAAGGGGACTACTATAAAGGTGGATGTGCTTCGGCACTGCGAACTATTCAGGGTAAGGTTTTCTACACCTTGTTCCCGAACTTTTGGATCATACTGCGTAGTACATTTAAACAATCTCTTTATCGTGATTAAAAATTCGAACTTTAAGAATTTCGCTTCAAAAAATGTTCCTTTTTTTTGTAAAATTTTTGCACTTTTTGACATTGATGTTTAAATAAAATTCCTAAAATTTTTTGGCACGAATCTTATTAAAAGTAATTCAAGTTAATTTTTCCTAATACAATTATTAAGAATTTGAATTTTTAATAGTTTCTTCTATAAGTACCATTAAATATTAAAATCAATTATGAAAAACTTTAAGTCATGTAAAATTTTTACTTCTCAAAATTCTGAGTGGAAAAGATAGTAAACAATTTTTTTCTAATGTAAAGACATAGACCTATTATGTATGTGACTATTGCATTTTATGTTTGT